TCGGCCCAGGCACCACCGCGGGCAACGGCGCCCTGGCCTCGCGGCCAGTGCGACCCCTCCCCGACCGGCACCCCAGAGGGCAAAAAGGGAGGGGCGGCGCAGCGGGCGGCGGGGTGCAAGGGGGGGGGCAGAGTTCGCTCCTCCCCCTCCCCGGCCGCTCGCGGCACGGGGACGGACAGCAGCCAGGAGGCCGCGCGAGCGGTCGAAAGAGGAAAAGAAAAAGGGGGGGACAAGGCACCAGGCATTGGGCAGCCAGATGGCTTGGGGGAAGACCGCCGCCACAGACGCACAGAGCAACGCGGCTGCACTGGGCCCCTGGGCGCGGCAGCCTCGCCCAGCCCTTAAAAGAACAAAGGCCACTCGCAGTCAGATCCCAACCGGATCCAGCGCCACAAGCGGCGGTGAAATTGCTTAAGTCCCCCTGGGGGGCGGGGCCGCAGGCCCCCCACCAGGTCGGGAAGGAATTTCGAACGGGCGCGAGCCTATCGAGTCGTGCAAGGCGCGCGCCACGTAGAGAACGTGGTGCCACCTCTCTTCAGGCGGCGGCCCCTCGCGGAAGAGCTGGTACATGTACATGGCTGCGTGCGATAGCGGCGGGAGCAGGGCGCGAGACTCCAAATCGGCACGCTGCGCGGCCTGCCTGGGGCAGCCGCAAATAGCATGGGCAATGTCCACCTGCGCAGCTCCGCAAGCAGCACAGCGGTCCAGAGTGACGGGGAGACACGGCACGCCAAGGACTGGGAGGGGCCATGCCCCGGACATACGCGCTACGGACCACATGCGAAAGTCGCGCCACATATGTGGCCCAAAATCCAACTGAAGTAGGGCCATCGGTAGCTGGTTGGGCTCGGGGACGAGCACAGCAAAGGACATCCCGAGCGTGGGCAAGCAGGCGCCGGTCGCGCGTTGGAACGCGGCCCGATCGCGCGCCCGCAGGGCCGGGCGAACCACCTGGAGTTTGAAGTCACGCAGCAGAGACCTACGCAACTGCAGAGAGCCCTGGGCGCCACGCAGAGGGTGGCGGAAAGCTGGGTGGACATCGATGTCCAGGACAGGTGGCGTGAGCTCCGCCATGCGGGCGGCGACGGCGCTCGCCCAGGAGGCGCACGTAAGGCGGCGCGCCAGCGCGAGCATGCGGGTGCCGGGGTGGTCAGGAGGCTGCGCCAAAAGACGGGCGCGCGCCATGATTGCTCGCTCGAGCATCCGCGTGCCCAACCGGCACGTCCAGCCGCATTGCGCAACGACCACCTCGCCTGGCACAGGGGGGCCAGTGGTGCACGCCAGGAGCCTCCTAGCCCACGCGGCCTGCATGCGATTCAACTCATACTCAGCCCGATGGGCCAAGAGCAGAAAAGGAGAAGGGTATAAGATAGCGCTCTCGACCCGGAGGGGGACCTGCGCAGAAAGGACGGGGAGGCCGAATCCGCCGCTCTCCCCAGCGTGGAAAAGCGCTTCAAACAACGCGTGGCCGCGGGCCAAAACAGAGCGGAGGAGGGGTTGAAAGGTGAGCTCGGCGTCAACGAGAACGCCAAGCACCAGCTTCTGGTCCACGACGGGGCAGCCCACCCACCCGGGGTCGGGGCTACCAGCAACGGCCATGGCCGCTGTTTTACCAGAGGCGTAATTAAAGTCGGCACGGACAGCGCGGGCAAACCGGCTACACGCAGAGTCTGGCTCGGCAGATACAACGGCGCGGAGGGCGCCTGGGGACGGGCAAGGGACAGTCAGATCGTCAGAGAACTGCAGTGGCTGCAAGTGCTCCGCACCCAGCGCGTCCTGGGCTGCGGCACGATCGGCTTCAGTGGCCCCTCCGCACGCCCACTCGGCCAGTTCCGCCGCGGCTCGAGCCCACGGCGCGCCCTCGCCCAGTGCCGTTGCGGAGACGCTAGTCGCGATCGCCGCGGCCGCGTCGACGGAGGGGGGTGAAGGGGGGCGGAGTGGAAAGGGAGGGGGAGGGTCCACGCCAACTGGACAAGCGCGCCGGTAGACCGGCGGAACCCAGGTTGCACAACCCTGCGGCAGGACAGCCATTACAGCATCAGCTAGCCACTTCACCTCGGCATTAAACACATACGCCGAAAAACGCTTACCTTGGGCGGTGCCGCAGGGCAGCCGAAAAAACTCAGACGCCAGCCCCTGGAGGGCTACAAACTGGATGTCCATCTGAATGAAATCATCCAACAAGAGCCACTCGTCCTCCACCACGCCAGCAAGATACGACGACAGGCGCATGGCATCATGCGAGGCCACATCAAAGGCCCAGCGAAGGTCAGTAAGCGCCCAGTACGTGGGGAGCCCTTGAGCGCCGCGGAGCTGCGCGTGGAGCAGCAGCGCTAGCAACACAAGCAAGGGGTCCCCGACCCCGCCCTGCTGGCCAGCGCCGCAATATTGCGTGAGCACAGAGCGGTTGCGCTGTGTCCAGAGGGCGTCCACAACCGCAGACATGACAGTGGAGATCGAGATGGGCCGGAGGCACGCGACATCACGCACCACGCGGGGGCCCGACTTGTGAAGCGGTGTAAATTGCCTCGCGGACCAGCATGTGCTGGTGAGACCACAGGACCTAGAGAGACTCGCCAACGCTAGCGTGAGGCGCCGGCCCTGCACGCATGGTGACTTAACGGAGGCATAACAGCCACGTAGCGCGCTGGATGCCACTTTAAATGTCTCTAAAACGTCCGCAAGCTCAGCCATGGAGTAAAGGCGCCGGCCCCTGGTGGAGAGACCGGCGCCAGCACGAGCCGCGCCGCTCTGGCGAACGGCGGACACCGCCCGTGCGGTGGCGAGGCATGCCTCACGGTCATGTGGAAAGTTGTTGGAGGCCCTCGCCTGCAGATCCTGCTCGATGGCTTGGAGCATCTCGTCGGCACTGAATCCCCGTCCCGTGGCAGGGTCGGCGAGTGCGATCTCAAACCTGTCTTGGCCGGCGAAGAATGAGGACAGGAAGCGCTCCGCAGCCCCAGGGTTCAAAGCCCGAAGGTGGAGAAAACGTTGGGCCGCGCCCCTCCTAGCATCCCAGGCTGCCTGCGTGGCCGCTTTCTTAAAAGCCTGGTGATCAGAGAAATCCGCCGGGGCTGGCCCAACGGGCCGGCGTCGCTTGCGAGACGCCGCCGACGTCACCGCACGGGTGACCCCCGCAGCGTGGCCCGCAAGAGTGTATAGCACGTCACGTGACCACGCGGCCACGTCCAGGAGCACGCGGCGCTGGGCGACAGAGGCCTGGCCTCCGCTCCACGGAGGGCGGAGCCACGGCGCATGCACGCACAGCTCAACCGCAGACGCTGCAAATTGGAGAAGCGGTTCCACCGCGCTAAGGGCGTCATCCCACTGGGAATCAGTGCGCCAGCTGACTCGGCCAAAACCTACGTGCGCGGAGCGGTCACACTGGCACGGCATTGACCAGCACAGCAGGCGGTGGTCAGAGGCCACGGCCACGGCCTCCTTGACAGCAACGGAGATCTGTTGGCCCAAGTCCGCGAGGACAAGGTCAATGCACGTGCCAGAATCGCGCGTGGGCACCGGCGGGTTGCACGCGATGAGCGAGGCAGCGCACAGCATCGCCTCGATATCGCGATCTTCCAGGGATTGGTGACAATGGCAGCAGCCGCACCCCGGGCGGTGCGAAAGGACGTAGGACAGATGGATATTTGCATCCCCAGCGACGAGGAACGAGGCATGCGGAAAGCGCGAGCGCAATCGAGTGAGCTCACCAAGGATCGCGCTCCAGGTTTCCACGTCGCCGCCTGGCGCTGGGTAAACTGCGGCAAAGACAAGAGACGGCCCCGACGCGGCAGTAGCGCCGCTCGACGAGGTCCAAACTTCAAACCACTGGACCCGCGCAGACGAGACGTCAGGCAGCGGGCGGACTACCGGAAGCAGTTCGGGTCGCAAGAAAATCCCGACAGCGCCCCACGAAGCAGAGCGTTCGCCCAGCCAACAGTACGGGTACCCTGCCGGCAGCGCCGCACCCGGCGGGAATCGCGCACCGGGGGTGATGCAAATATCGATATTCTCATCGTGCAGAAGCTGCGCCATCGCCTGCAACCGCCAATCTAAGAGCGCGTCTGTGCCGAGGGCGAGCAAGCCACACCGGCCCGGGTTTAAAACGGCCATGCGCAAGGGCTGCTGGCTTGACAACTCCAACGGCGGGCCCGGAGCTCCGGCGGCGTCGGCAGCCAGCACTGGGCCCGCGAACGGCGAGATCACGGGCGGTGAGTCCCCGCGCGCAGGACGCAATGGGGGGGCGACCTCTTCGGCGAGGAAAGCTCGCAGCTGCCGGCCAAGAGCGATGAGAGGCCCAGCCTCGCGACTCCCTTGCGTGCGAAGCTGCGGCGGCGGCTCGGGGGCACAAGCAAGCAAGGCGAGCACGTCACGAAGCGCCGCTCCCCTCTCCAGGCCCCTGGTTTCGACGCCGATCCAGCGGTTCACTAAGTTGCGTAGCGGTGTCAGGGGGGCGTCGCCGCCCCCGGCGAACATGCCTCCGCCCCTGCGCGGGCGGCCTCCGGCGGGGCTATGCACGGCGAGGCCGGGGAGCCCTGGCAACGGCTGCGGGAGGGGCGGCGCGGCCGGCGGGAGGGGGGGAGGAAAGGAAGGGGACGAACGGCGCGGAGCGGGGGGGGGCCGGCCAAGGGGGGCAGACGGCGGACGACACCGCGGAGCGGACGGATCATCATCGTGAGCAACGGGAAGCCTTCGGGGGCCGCTGGAGGGGGGGGCAAGGGACAAGCCTTACGACCAGTACCCATCAAGGGGCGACGCGGCCCAGCCCGACAAGCAACAACGATGAGCACGATCGACGCCACTATGCATCTGCAGCTTTTTCACTCGACACCGCTCGTTGCAACCAATGGGGTTCATAGGGGATCCGGGGCCGGACCGCCACACCGCTTTGGGTGCCGGCCGCAGTGGGCGGCGGCTGGGCTGAGAAATGCGAAGCGAGGACAGCGCAGGACAACTGGAAAGAGGCACCCGCCCCCGCGGGGGGCGAGTCCGCGCCCGCTGGGAAGCTATCGCAGGTGCAGGAGCGCAACTGGCGCAGCGGTGCGCGGGCGCACCCGGCTCCGGGGCCGGCGAGGGCACCGCGCTAGGTGCCAGCGCCCGACGGGGGCTGGCGAAGCAACTCGCGTGCACTGAGGCGCTGCACTGGCGCCGAAAGAAGCCCCTGCGCCGAGGCCTTCGGCTCGGGGCCCTCGATATCCGTGACGAGGCCGAAGAAAAGCAGGAGCTCCTCAATATGCTCTTCAAAGAGAGGGCGGGTGGCGTGCATGACAATTCGACCCTGCTTCTTATTCTGCAGCTGGATGGACAAAACCTGCTTGGGTGAATTAGAATACGTGATATCTAAGCCAGGCTGTGAAAAGTCACCGGTCCCAAGGGCGAAAGGGGGCACTGCGGTCACCTGTTTCCCTGCTCCGCCGCGGCGCATGCCGGCCAGAATCGCCACCCCCATCGCCATGACAGCATTGTGGAGGTCAACCTCCGAGTGGCAGCGGGAGGCGAAATAGACCGCGATCTTCGCGCGGCCGTCCCCGGGCTTTGGCCCGAAGGACTCGCGGACTTTGTACAGCCAGCCGGAGACAGCCTCGCGGAGCTCAGCCTCGCTCCCGAGGGCGGCAAACTGGCGCGGGTCAGGCGCCGCCGCGGCCGAGCCAACGGGGTCAAGCAACGGCAGCGCACTGGGGGGCCCGGGGGGGCCCGCCGCCAGGGGCGGGGGAGCTGCGCTAGACAATTGCGGCGCGTGCTGGGGCGCGGCCATAGGCACCGAGAGCAGCGGCGACAAGGCGGGCGGAAGCGCACGCGGGGGCGACGCCAGCGGCGCGGGCTGGGATGGCGGCAGGGTCCCGCAGACGCCCCGCACTACTGTAGCCACAGCCGCGCATGCGCGGACGCGCTCCTCCTCGCACGCTCGGACGCGCTCCTGAAGCCGCGCGGCACACGCCGCGTACTGGACAAGTTCGGGAGGCTGGTCTGGGCGCACGACGCCGGAAGCGCGGTGTAACCACGCTTTCCCACCCCCCGCGCCGACCAGCTCTTCCCAGCCTGCGCGGGCAACTTGGAGCTGCTCGAGCTCTTGGCGCAAAGCTGCCAGCTCAGTGGCGTGGTCCTTCAGGGCGCTCGAAGCGGGCTGCGAAGAGGAACTGGGCGGGAGCGCCTTGACCAAGGGCGCGGTCGGCCCACCTGCGGCGCCCGCCACGGCTGGGGCGTGCCCACCTGCGGCGCCCCCGACAGCCGCGGGAGCGCCGGCCACGGACATCGGGGCTGCCATGGGCACGAGCGCCGTGCCCGGATGATCCCACTGAGTGCGACCTGAGCTGCGATGCTGAAAATACAAAGCGCCGCTGCCCGAGTCACGCAGAAGCGGCGGGCCCGGCGACGCGGGCAGCGGGCTAGCCGGGGGCGAGGCCGCCGCGGCCTTCGGGGTGGCTGGCGCCGCCGCCCCTGTGTAGGCGGCGTCGGCCGCGCTCGCTTTCGGCGGCGGAGGCGGCGGCGGCGGCGGGGGCGGCGGGGACTCTGGCCCAGCGCCGATCCACCTCGTTGGCGGGCTGCGCGGCGGGCTCAGCTCAGGGGGCCCCGCCGTAGCCGGGGACAGAACCGCGCGGCCCTTCGCCGCCGCCCCCGGGAAGATGCCCCAGTCGCCGGGGGGCGGCCCGGCCGGGAATGGGCACGGGGTGGCGGGCTGCGACGGAATCAGGGCGCCGAGCGCAGCGCTGAGGTCGACCTCCGAGCCGCGTGGCGAATGGTGGCTGTCTGCCACGGGCGTTGGGCTGCATTCGCGGTCACGGTCATGGTCACAGTCCCGACCCTGGTCATGGTCCCGATCGCGGCGGCTGCGATCGCGATCACGGTCGCGGTCCCTGGCCTGGCCCCTGTCCCGGTCGCGGTCGCGACCGCGGGAGCGGTCGCGGTCTCTGTTCCGGTCGCCATCGCGGTCGCGGCCGCAGTTGCGGACTCGCTCCGAGGACGGCATGGCCGCGGCACTGGTTCCCTGAGCGGGCACGGGGGACCCTCGGTCCGCGCGGTGAGCCTTAGAGCCAAAGCGCGTGTACATGCGGAGGCATCAGCAGGGGCAGGAAACAAGGACTTCCTCCCCGTGCGCGCCCAGCGTGGGCGGCCGGACAGCAAGTACGAGGGCGGGGAGGGGGAGAGGGCAACGCATGCTTGGGTAACTTGCACTCCCGCTCACGCTCTCCACGAAGCCCAAAAAGAGCCGCTAGATATCATTATGAGGCACAACACCCGCGAACACCCGACAAACCCAAGGCAGCCCCCCGCACGCAGCACGGCACGGCACGGCAACAGCACAGCGAGACACGACACAACCAGAACAACGTCCACGCGGCCCAGGCACGGCACGGCACAGCCGGCGGGGGGGCGGCGGAGAGAGCGCGCAGCCAGGGAAGGTAAGAATCAGATTGGCAACCATGCGCAACCTCCAAGCGACACGTGGGACATGGGAACATGCTGGAAGCAATGCAATGTCACATCAGCCTTTCTCTCCCTTTGCTGGCATAGTTCCATTGACGCGACGACGGCAATGGGTTAAGAGTAACCCTTCAGGAGACGGGCGTAAACTGAGGCCAATTGCATCGACCGCACAAGCACCATGTACAGAAGCGAGAAAGCCAAATGTGGACAATTTCATTTAGATCACCTGGGGGGCGGGGCCGCCGGCCCCCCACCAGGTCAAAAGGAAAAGCGGGCCCCAGGAACAGGCGGGGCAGGGGAGGCGGGGACCCCGGGGCCGCCCGCCGGAGACGGGGCCGGGGAGGGGGGCGGCGGCAGGAACGCACAGCGTACGGATTACAAGCTCCATTGACACGACGATGGCAAGGGGTTAAGAGTAACACTTCAGAAGTAAGCGAAAACTGAAAAACAATTGCATCGACCGCACAAGCACCATGCACAGAAGCGAGAAAGCCAAATGTGGACAATTTCATTTAGATCACCTGGGGGGCGGGGCCGCCGGCCCCCCACCAGGTCTAAAGGAAAAGCGGGCCCCAGGACCAGGCGGGGCAGAGGGGCGGGGACCCCGGGGCCGCCCGCCGGAGACAGGAGGAGGACAGGACAGGGGAAGGGTGCTTTTGCTCACCCGCCAGCCTCGCCACACATCCTAAGCCGGGCACGTCTTATCTCCCCCTTTCCGACGGCAAGTGATGCAACAACAAGCAAGTAGACAAGAAGGGATGAAATGCAGCCAAGCTGTGCATCACTCCATGCTCCGGTGCAACATTGGAGACCATATCAGCAGATGACGTAGATGTCCCGCGGAGGTTTCATGGGAGAAAGGCCAAGTAGCTGACGCAAGGCTTTTCGGCCCTCGCAACACATGTCAGACATGCACTCTGGCATTGCCTCCCAATGGTTCTTGTGGTGCCCGCCACCCGGTCTCATGCGTACAAGGAACGGAATGCCTTCGGGAGGAAAGTAGCGGAGAGCCACCTTGCGAAATTTCGGCCGCTCGGCCAGGAGAAGTCGCTCAAGGTCTCGGGTCGAAAACCCGTCAGGCGTAAATCCAAGCACTTCACTGGATAAGAGCCTCACGATGTAATCAGAGCCCTTGCCCAGGGCAACAGCATCATCTATACCAGAGATACCTAATTTCGCCAAGTTGCTTGAACGACAGCCCGACAATAGTAGGAGGGCGTGAGACACGGTGAAGCGCCCACACCCGTCGACACCGCACATGTCAGCGATCAGCTCCGTCTTCGTGCGACCCCGCAGGGCAATGTCCGCGGGCATATAACCCGGCGTCACTCCCCCAGCCTCCTGCACAGCTTGATACTGGAAGTCTGTCGAAAAAACCGGAAACTGAGCGTTACGAAGCTTGTGTGACAAATCGACCCTGCGGACCCCTGGGTTCATATCTGATGCTACCACCCATTCAAAAGAGTGCATGGCGAAGAAGACTGCCCACGCCGCTATGTGATATGGGGGCCTGGACTCAAGCAACTCTTGGCGAAGGGTAAAATTGCCAGGGCGAGCCAACTCCTCACGAGGCAAGTTAAAGCACAGAGCTGCCCGCTCGAGAAACTGATGGTACGTCATGCCAATTGATGGGAGGCCAAACCCAGAAAGCCCAATCCCTCCCCAAGTAATCTCGTCATGAGCCCACTCTGCCGGAATGCGAAGTGTCGCACGGGCCGCGTACAAGCGTAACAAGAAAAGGCGGAACTTCACGCCATTCGTCACACGAAGGGCGAACTGCTCTAGGGTACGTGGCCGGACGGGGCCCTGCGAGCGGGAGCGAGAACGCTCGCGCACCATGCCACCTCGCGCCGGCGCGGGATGGGCCCTGGGCCAAAACACGACGGAAGTGCACTGACATAGAAGAGGCCCGATTGTCCATGAACTCACATACAGGCTGTCTCGGATGCTGCTGGCAAACCCCAGAATACCTTTAGAGCAGACGGGGGAACGATCCCTCCACCCCCCAGGCGACCAAGAAGAAATCTGGGTCGGATGCTCGTTCCTTTCTACCAGGTCTGCTGAGCCCGGGGACGCAGAGGGAGAGGGAGAGAGACGGAGCGCAAGAGGGAAGGAAGAGGATAGGGAGTCCAGCTGCGTGAATTCTGATCGGATGGAAGCGAAATGTGGATAGCCACAACAAGCAAAGGTAACACACGCGCGCATACGGACACAGAGCGTGACCTAGCGACACGCTGGTTTGCGCAGTGACAACACCGACACCACGCCCACACACACGGCACGACACCCCACCTGAGCGTGCTGGGATAAACAAAAAGCAACATCAAGTGTAGCAGTCAAGCACACACAACCCTTTGCTGGCCAACCTCAACGAAACACCGGTGCGCATGCAGGCCAGGACGGAGCAGGAGGGACAGGACAGGAACACAGGCAGAGGCGGAGGGAGGGAGGGAGCGGGGGAGCGAAGGAGGAGGGAGGCCAACGCTAAGAGCACGCCCCCTCCCGGGTCAGCCAACGGCTGCCCGACAGACGGCCGACGCAGCAATGGTTGGCGCCGGACGGAGGAGGCAAGGGAGGGGGGAGGAGAAGACGAGAACGGGGGGGACAGACAGGGAGGGCGAGAGGCGGGAGGGGCAGAGGGAGGAGAGGGGGGAGGGGAAGGAGGGGAGGAGGGAGGAAGGCGACAGGAGAAGCGAGGTTGGTTGGGTGAAACTCCAGACGACGCTCCCCGCTGGCGGCCACGGGCGCCAGCGGACAGCCCCCCCTGCAGCAGACCGGGCAAGGCCATCACATCCTCCCACATGTCCCTAACATTAAAAGATAGCAAACAAGCAGTGCCAAGGGGAGAGACGGGTGAGAGCAAAAGTAGAGGGGGTGGGGGCGCCACTAACGAACACGAGCGTGTCACGACAAGCGCTGGCACACTCGCAACAGAAGCACTCGATTGCCCATCAGCGGAACATGCCCACATCAAGAGTTGCACGATCACGAGGAATTGCTGTGCACAGGGGGGGGGGCATGTAGCACAAAGGGTACTGGTGTGCCCCAAGCGGCCCTGGGCCCCCTTCATGTCAATGCGTGCAAGACGCGAGCACACACACACACACACACACACAGACCAAGGCCGCTTGCGCTGCGACGGCCACGCCGGGCCGCGACAAGGACACGCACGCAACGCATTATAGCAGCAACGCACGCACGCGCATAACAACGCAACCCTTTAAAACTGCCTCCCGTCCACCAAGCTCTCACTCCACCAGACAACGCTGCCCCACCCGTTCCGCCTCACTTTCTCTGCTCGCCCCAAGATAGATATGACCGCAGCAGAACCAAAAGCGAAGAAGGGAAACAACCAAGAAAGCGCCTGAGCGGACCCCTCCCCCGCGGACGCCCTCAGGGTGCGTCGCCGGGCACCGGACCGCACAAAGGGACAGACCAGGCAACAAACTGCAGCAGGCGAGAGAACCCCTTCCCCCGCGGACGCCCTCAAGGGGCGCCGCCGGACAACGGACGGCTTACGCAGAGAGACGCAGCAAGGGACAACACAAAAGAGGCAGGCGGCAAGAAGAGAAAGCGATGGGTGGCGTTGGCGGCGCTGGCGGCGGTGGCCGCACATGGCCGGCGCGCCGCGCCCGCCCCGCGGGGACGATCTTCATCCTCTCTGCGCCCCGCCACGTCCTGCCCGTCTCGCTCCGCCCTCAGCCGTACAGCAGCCACGCGGCGAACCCGCCGTGCCGCCCGCGGGGGCGCTCGCCGCGCAGGGCGGGAAGTGTCCAGCCATGGACTCCTGTGGGCCTGAATGCCCCGCAAAACCTCTGCGTGACTTGATCTTGCGCTGGCTGGGCACGGAGAGCCGCGGCCTAGAAATGTGTGCGCTCGCCAAAGACTGCGATGCACTGCTAGCTACCTGCCCCTCCCTCCCGCCCCCTCTCTTGCTCTGCTGCAACGGGGCTGCCGCTCCGCTTGCGGCCCTGGTGTCCGCACTTTCGTCGCTGCTGCGCCGGGAGGTCGCGCCCTCACTAACGCGCGCGGGCTTGCGCCAGCAGCCCCGGCAAGTTGTCTCCCCGTACGCTGGGGGAATCCGGCTGGGGGATGCCGTCCCGTCGCGCCCCGCCGAGGGGCCCGAGCCCTGTAGCTCCGTCCGCCTGGAGGTGCTGAACCCCGGCCGCCTGGGCTTCCTGGCCCTGGGCACTGATGTGTTCTTGGAGTGGCGCCTCCACGCTGTCGCCCACGTTTTATCCGGGAGTGGCGCCGACATTTGCGTGCTTCCGGGTGCGCGCCTGCCTCCTGGGGCAGTTCTGCCGGCGGGCTTCCCGTTCTCGTGGCTGGGCCCACGATCGGTCTCTTGGGGCGCGGTCGGTATTTTTGTGCGCACCGAGATTGTCTCGCTCCTCCGCCCTCTCCCTGACTTGTCCTCTGACCGCGCTCAGTGGTTTGAGTTCTGGGGTGATGCTGCTCCCGGCTCGCCGACTCCTGGCCCGAGCTTTGTTTTCTGCGCGTGCTACCCCGCCCCGGGCGGCGATGTGGCGACGTGGTCGGCTATTGTTTCCTCCGTCACTGAGGTACGCGCGCGCCACCCGGGTGCGCGCGTCCTGATCTGTGGCGATGGTAACGTCCACCTGTCCTACGTCTTGCAGCATCCTCCTGGCTGTGCTTGCCTCCACTGCCGCCAGTCGGCGCAAGACCGCACCATCGAGGCTATGATCACCGCCGCCGGCTTTGTGGCGTGCAACCCGCCAGTTGCCACGCATGACTCGGGCACGTGCATCGACCTGATCCTCGCCGAGCGCCACTGTCTCATTCCTGTTACTGTCGCCCATGCGAGTGGTGTAGATTCGGACCATCGGTTGGTCTCGTGTTCGTTCCCGTGCGCCTTCCGCCCCCCACAGCTGTCAGGGCTGTGTCGCGTGACGTGGCGCACAGATGGCCAGTGGGACGATGTGCTGCTCGCCGTGGCGCCTGTCCTGGCGTACCTGGCTGACGCCGTCGAATCCCTCATTGCCTGTGAGTGGCTGCGCCCTCCGTGGAGCGGGGGGGGCGCCACTAAGAAGCAGCGCCGCGCTTTATTGGACGCGGCCGCTTGGGCGCGCGACGTGATTTACGTGCTGGCTGGGTTCGCGGCGGGGGCGACTAAGGCGTCCACGGCAGCCCCCGTGCGCCCGAGTAGGCCTCCGCTAGACCCCGACGCGTACGAATCGCAAGCTGCTTTTAAAAGGGCTGTTGCGCAAGCCGCGTGGGCCGAGCGCCACCTGGCGTTTAAGCGCTTCTCCGACCTCCGCACGGTCTCCCCTGGTTTGGCCGAGCGGTTTCTGTCGGAATTTGTTCGGTCGCGTAACCCCTTTGAAATTGCGTTGGCCGACCCGGTCGATGGGCACCCCCTCAGTGTGGAGGAGATGCTCGAGGCATTGCAGACTGACATGATGGACCGCGTGCGCAATGATTTCCCTTGTAACCCGGAGGAGCAGCGCGCGCAGGCCTGCGCGGTTTCGGCGATCCGGTCGGTTGGCGCTGGCCCTGCCTCTCCGGGCCTCGCCCTTTACTCAACCACTGAGGTGGATGCCGTCTTAGACAGCTTGAAGACCACCTCCTCCGCGCTCCGCGGGTGTTTCGCTTCTGTCCGGTCGGCGGTGCCAGAGGGCCGCAGGGTTACCCTGGCCCTCGCGAACCTTTCCCGGCAGTGCGCCATTACGAGCACCCTGTGGTCGAGCCGGCAGGTGACTCCCCTGCACAAGTCGGGCCCCCGCGTCGTCCGCTCCACTTTGTGCTTGCGCCCGATTTCTATTTCGGCGGTCATGACGTCTGTCGTGGATGGCCTGTGGACGTTGCGCAACGCCCCGCTGTTACAGGCGTACTGCGGAGTGGCCCAACAGGGCGGAGTGGGTGACCCCCTTCCTCTCCTCCTGGCTCTTCTCCTTCATGCCCAACTCCGCTGTGCCCAGGGCCTGCCCACATATTGGGCGGTCACGGATCTTCAGTGGGCGTTTGATGTTGCCTCCCACCCCGCCATGCTCCTAAATGCCTACGAAGCAGGTGTCCGTGGCCATGATTGGCTTCTCCTTGACGATTTTATGTCGTCCGACAACCAGTACATTGCGCTTCGCGGCCACATCTCTTCTTTGTTTTCGCTTGGCGGCGGCACGGCGCAGGGCCGTAGGTTCAGCGTGGGTGTTTTCAACGCGCAGCTCAAGTGGCTGGCGGAGGAGGTGTATCGCGTGCTGCCTGGGAGCTGTGCTGCTTGGGTTGAGCCCCACCTGCGGCGTTTGTGCTTAGCGCTTCCTGTGCCTGATTCCCCTGCCGCGTGTGGGCCAGCGCCGCCAGCTGTTGGGGGCGACCTCGAAGCCTTGGCTGTCGAGGTGGCGTCGGCAGCTGCCGCGGAGCAGGTGCCCTTCCCGAGTGCCGAGCGCGCGATGCTGCGCGGTGCCCTGCGGCTAGCTTCTGAGGCCGACAGGGCCTACTTGATGGACCGCCTGGGCACGGGCCTTTTGCCCCCACTGCAGTTTGTTGATGACCTCACGGTTGCCACATCCTCGCCGGGGGCTCTCCGAGCCATCGTGTCGCGGGAGCCATGGTCAGCCTGCTCGCGGTACGCAAGCCGCACCCGGTCCATGTTTAATTACAAGACGGGGAAAACCGCGGCCATGGTGATCCTTGACAGCCCCCCGCCGGGGGACATCGGCTGCCCAGTGGTGGATACTAAGGCCCTGCTGGGGGTGCTCTTTGACTCCCGGCTCTCTTTCCGCCCCCTGCTTCGGGCTACGCTGGCCAAAGGTCATGAGCTGTTCGAGGCGCTGTTTTTCGCCGGCGGGTCTGGGGGCTTTGGTCTCCCAGTCCTGTGTGCCCAAGTGCCGTCGCGCGTGGAATCTGCCTTGCTCTACCCCTCCCCGTTCCTCTTCCTGGCCGAGCGGGCGCGTTTTTCACTCGATCATTTGCAAGCGTCCTGGGCACGGCGTTTGCTCGGATGCGCTATCGGCCCAGAATTGCCCGGCGCGGTTGTCGTAGCGCAGTGTGGGTGGCAGCTGCGCTTGGGCACTAAGATGCTTGAGCGTACGGTCCTCGCTCGCGCAAGGCTGCTCCTCCTGCCCGCCGAGCACCCGGGTGCCAGTATGCTGACAGTGGCCTCGGGCACGAGCTGCTCCACGTGGGCGAGCGCGGTCCGGGCGTGGATGTGCTCTCTGGACCCTCCCCTTCCTGACGTGGTAGAGTGGCCTTTCGCCGGACCTCTGGCGTGCGCCAAGGCGCGCGCTGATCCTGCAGCGCGTCGTCTGCTCCTCCGTAGCTACAAGTTTTATGTCGTCCGCCCTGCACTCCTTAAGCTGGATCTTCTCTCGTTCCAGCGGGCTACTGCAGATGCCCTGCCTGTCTTTCGTCTCCCGTTCTCGGCGTGGCTGTCCGGCCCGCCGGGAACGCACTGGAACCTTTTAGATTTGGCACTTGGCCCTGGCTCCTGGCTCCAGTTCCGCCTCTGGTCTGTGGTGCGAATGTCTGGATGCTGGCCTCTCCAAGTGCTGGGGGCCCCGCTCTGCGTTTCTACGCTGCCCTGTTGTGGGGCTTGTGGCGCGCGTGACGTAGATGTGTGGCCTGCCCTCTTTTCCTGCTCAGCCACGGCTGAACTTAGGTCCGCTCTGTGGTCTCGCCTCCCCTTGCCTCCTCCCTCCTGTCCTGCCCAGGTTTCTCAGTTTCTCTTCCACCAGTGCCGCCCGCCAGCGGAGCGCCGTGAGCATGTCCATTTTGTTGCCACGGCCGTGCTCTTGGCCATGACTGGTGCCATGCATCATTAGGCCCGGCCTGTTTGCGGGGCGCCCGGCGTGAGCCCCTGACCGGTGCTTGGGCAGGGGGGTGCCAGGCGTGGGTCGGCACCGTCGTGGCCTGCGCCCAGGGGGGGCGAGCGCGCAGGTCGACTGTGGTCCGCGTGCGCGCGGTGGCAAAATGCGGCTTGGATCCTCTGCTACCCGCGCCGCGTGCGCGCGCTTCCCACCGTGCCTGCTTGCCTGTCCTGCTTCTCCTCTGCGTTTTCTCTGCCTCACAGTGGTGATGCGGCCCCTGCGGCCCGGTCTGCGTGCAAAATCCTGCCTTACTGTTGTGGTCCCATCGCACATTCTATCTTGTTGTATGCTTCCCAGCAGGTGTGTGAGGGTGTCCAGCTGTGTGCAGAAGTCCATGCGTTGTTCCTGCTTCACTGTCGTGATGCGGCCCCTGCGGCCCGTACTGCGTGCAAGTGTCTGCCTCACTGTTGTGTTGCGGCCCCTGCGGCCCGTGTTGCGTCCTTTTCTCGGCTTGTGTGTGTGTGTGCAGTGCAACTATGCCACGACGTCCCTTTGCGATCGTTGGGTCTGACTTTACCGTTTGGAGGAGCACGCTTCCCGTCTGACCTCTGGGGGGGGGGCTGTCGTCCAGTGCCCGCCTCTGTCAGGCAGACTTCGGCTGACATGCGAGGGGGCTGTTGTCTCTGTCGTCGCGTCGTCGTCGTCGTCGTCGTCGTCGTCGTCGTCGTCGTCGTCGTCGTCGTCGTCGTCGTCGTCGCCCTCTCCGTCGTCTCGTTGGTTTTTGTGTTGTCCCTTGTCTCGTCGCCGCTCTTGCGTGGTATGCACTCGGAGAAGGGGAGCAGCGGTGCGATGTTGCATGCTTGTTGTCCTCTCATTGTATCCATCTGTTTGCATCATGTGGTGCCTGTTGTTTTGCTTGCACTTGTTGCTTCTCTTGCCCTGTTCTCTATCTGCTGGCCGCGCACGCGGGGCCGTCGCCCTAGCGTCTCCATTTGGCTGGGGGGGCCGCCCTCCTATTCGAGGGCAGGCGCCGTCGCCGAGGGGCGCCTTAGGGCGGGTGGGTCGGCGTGGGCTGCGAGCTCTCTTCTTTCTCAAGGGGAGCCTTACGAAGGGCGGTGAAAGACCCGACCCTAGACGGAGGCACCCTGCGCCCCGCCTCGCCCACTTCTCTCTGGGGGGGGTGAGCCGGGGCGCCGCGGGGGTCCGCGGACCGGGCGCGCGCGGCGAGGGCGCGCGGCGGGCGTCCGACCTGTGGCCGCCGCAGCGGAGGCCAAAAAAAAATAGATGTGCCTCCCCTGCCGCTCCCACCTCGCGCGTCTCCTCCGTTTTCGGAGGGAGCTGGTGGCTTGCGTTTCGCCCTGGCGTTGGGCCAGCCCCCCGCAGAGGCGTGTCGCACGATAGATACTCTGCGGGGGGAGGCCGCAAGGGCCAAGCACCGCCCGGCTGTCCGCCCGCCTCGTGTCCAACGTGGCGGGGGGGAAGCGGTTTTCTCGCGGTCCCGCGCTGTCCACTGTGAGCCAAGGTGGGGTGAGAGGCGCCCCCCCCCCGCTCACCCCTCCCTGCCCGGTGAAGACTTGCGCTGTCCGCCCAGGTCGGGCGGGGAGGGCAGCTGGAGGTGTTGCAGACGTGGGGGCACGATGAGGTGTGAGAGACCACCACCTGGCGGCGTCCATGTCCTCCCTCGGAGCGGCTGCTTGCGGCTTGCGGCAGCTGTGAGAGGCGGCGCGCCCGGGGCCAGGCGGCGGGCGTCCGGCGAGCGCCCGGCGCGGGACCCGGTGGTGTCGTCTGAACGCGAAACAAAACGAAACGAACGGAAAACAGATAACGTTGTTTTTTTTGTTTTTTGTTCTTCCTCTTCTCTCCCAGTCCCAGTCCCAGCCACTGGCCCGGATTTGATGCCCGAAGTTGATGGAAATGCTGGAAAGCACCCCGTCGGGCATCCCAGGCCGCCTGCGTAGCTTCCCCCTCTTCAACGCCTGGTGGTCGGAGAAATCCGCTGGAGCCGGCCCAGCCGGCCGGCGTCGCTTGTGGGACGCTGCCGACGACATCTTTCGAGTGACCCCAGCCGCGTGGCCCACAAGGGTATGGGGGAAGAACGAACAGGTCGGAGGAACGCAAGACACACCTACAACAGTCGTCCCAAGCACAGGCCAAGATCACAGGTCCGCGCCTGCTTGGCCGAAGCGCCGACTGGTGATGCGGCTCTCGCTGGCAACCCCTGCGACACAAGCGCAGCAGGACTGGGACATCCGAGGGGCCCAGCGCAGCCGCGCGGCACCGAGCGCCTGGGGCGTGGGCCCTCCCTTTGTCTGCCTGCCCGCCCGGCACCCCCGGCAATCCGCCACCTGCGCTCCCTGAGCATTTCTTCTGCTGTGCTCCGGTTGGGCGGGGGTCCCGCTGGCCTGGAGGCCAGCGCGCCAAAAACTCCCCCTGGTTTTTGGTTCCCGGGTGCCCCCCTGGGCAGAAACAGGAGCCAGTTTTTCCCCTACGCGCTTGCTCCCCCGTCCTTCGCTTTGCCCCCCCCCCCCCCGACAGTGCCACTGTCCGCCCCTGCACTGCCAGGCGCTGCGAGGGCCGGGGGTGCCGACAGTCGTCAAGCTCATTCCCACGGGGTGCCAGTCAGGGAGGGGTCGCACTGGCCGCATGGCCAGGGCGCCGTTGCCTGCGGTGGCGCCTGGGCTGACCCAAGACGGGGCGAAAGACCCTACCCGAGACGGGGCCAGTCGTGGCCTGCACCTCGGGCCCGCAGATGCGGCTGCGGCTTGAGGGGGCCGCGCGCGTGGAGGCGCCGGGGCGGCGCGCGCGGCTGCGCAGTGCTCCAGACCCCGCCGCTGTGGCAAAAATGGAGGAAAGGACAGGAAAAAAAAACGCACGCCAGGAAACAACACGACGATCTCTCTCACACACACTCTCTCTCTTTCTTCTCTCGCTTTCTCTCTCTCTCTCTCTCTCTCTTTTGTTCTTTCTCTCTCACTAGTTCTTTCTCTCTCTCTCTCTATCTCTCTTTCCTCTCTCTCTCTCTCTCTCTTTATTTCTCTTTCTTTCTCTCTCTCTCTCTTTGTCTCTCTCTCTCTCTCTCTCTATCACTCTCTCTCTCTCTCTCTTTCTCTATCCTTATCTGTTTGTTTGCTCTCTCTCTCTCTCTCTCTCTCTATTTCTCTCTCTTCTCTCTCTCTCTCTTTCTCTCTCTCTCTCTCTCTCTCTCTCTCTCTCTCTTTCTCTCTGTATATTTTTTTGTTCCCTCTCTTTCTCTCTTTCTCTCTTTCTCTTTTTCTCTCTCTCTCTCTCTCTCCAGAGCGGAGGGACGCCAACCCCTTCTTGGCGGCTGCAACACGGAGGGACGCACAAGACCAGGAAGCAGCAAACAAGAGCACCCCGAGGCCGACCCACAGCACAGAGAAGGCTTCACCGAGAGATGCCGTTTGCCAGCGCCACGCCCCCCAACCGAGCCATCGCGGGAACAGCGGCACGCACGCTGGAAGATTCCCCTGTGGGACGGGCCGCGCAGGGAGCAAACCCCAGGGCTCCTGTCCCACCGCGGTGATTTGCTTACCCACTCGCGCATTGAAGACGAGCAGATCGTGCAGACAAGATGCAAGAACTCGCGCAGGGGGGTACCAGGCTACAGCGGCGAGCCCGACAGATCATACACCATACCAGGGAAAACAGCTTTTTCAGCGCCACTTGTCGATCGACGTTTGACCCATACCCCTGCCCACGCCAAAACTCGACGAAGGGGCAGAGTGAGGCTGAAACGAAAATCTAGACCACCGGGGGGCCACACACACACACGTAATTCCCAACCATCGTGTGGTGTTGGGTCCTTGTTTTGAAGAGACAGCGGCCCGCGTTCCTCCGTTTCCTCCTTTCCCGTGCATCCCCCTCCTTCTCCCCCTTCTCATCCCCCTCCTCCGTCCCCCAACCCTCCGCATGTCCACCATTTCAGCGAACCAAGTACGACGCTTCGTAGCCCCATAGGGAGCCCCACGAAAGGCCCCAGTGACTGTGACCATATGCGTCCCGCGCCACCCATCCAGGCACTTCGTGGCCCCATAGGAAGCTCCACCGAAGGCCCTGGTGAATGTGACCAGTGCCACTAGGGAGTTCCACCGAAGGCCCCACTGACTGTGACCACATGCGTCCCGCGCCAACCAGCATGGCGTTCCGTGGGCCCAGAGGGAGCTCAACCGAAGGCCCCACTGACTGTGACCACATGCGCCCCGTGGCACCCAGTACGGCGCTTCGTGGCCCCATGGGGAGCTCCACCGAAGGCCCCAGTGGCTGTGACTGCATGCGTCCCGCACCACCCATTACGGCGTTTGGCGGCCCCACAGAGAGCTTCACCGAAGGCCCCAATGGCTGTGACCACATGCGCCGCGCGCGACCCAGTACGGTGCTTCGTGGCCCCAGAGGCAGCTCCACCGAAGGCCCTACTGAATCCCACTGGCATCCCGCGACACCCAGTACCCATGAGGAGCTCCACCGAAGGCCCTACTGACTCCCACTGACATCCCGCGACACACAGTACCCATGAGAAGCCCCACCGACGGCCCCAGTGGCTGCGACCACGTGCGCCCCGCGCCACCCAGTACGACGCTTCGTGGCCTCATAGGAGGCTTCATTGAAGGCTCCAGTGGTTGTGGCCACATGCGCCCCGCACCACCCAGTATGGCGTTCCGTGGCCCAATAGGGAGCCCCGCCGACGGCCCCAGCGGCTGTGACCACATGCGTCCCGCGAAACCCAATACGGATTTTTCGTGGCCCCATTGGAAGCTCCATTGAAGGCCATGGTGGCTGTGACCACATGCGTCACGCGCCACCCAGTACGGCGGTTCGTGGCCCCATAAGGAGCTCCATCGAAGACCTCACTGACTGTGACCACATGCGTCCCGCGCCAACCTTCATGGCTCCATAGGGAGCTCCACAAAAGGCCCCAGTGGCCGTGACCACATGCTTCATGTGCCACCCATCCAGGCGCTTCGTGGCTCCTATGAACACTGACTGTGACCACATGCGCCCCGTGGCACCCAGTACGGCGTTTGGTGGCCCCATGGGGAGCTCCACCGAAGGCCCCAGTGACTGTGACCGCATGCGTCCCGCGCCACCCAATGCTGCGTTTCGTGGCCCAAGCTCCACCGACGGCCCCACTGGCTGTGATCACATGCGTGTACCCCCGCCCATTTCGGCACACCTCTCACGCGCCTCGTGGCCCCATAGGGAGCTCCACTGAAGGCCGCAGTGGCGACGTTCGCATGCGTCCCCCCCCGCACATCTCGGCGTACCCTTCACGCGTTTCGCGGCCCCGTAGGGGAGCTCCACCGAAGGCCCTGGTGGCGACGTTCGCATGGCGGCCCCGTTCCATTTCGGCACACCCCTCAAACGCTTCGTGGCCCTGTATAAAGCACCACCGAAGGCCCCAATGGCTGCGCCCGCATCCGTCCCCGCCACATTCCAGCACACACTGCACACCGTTCGTGGCACCATAAGAAGATCCACCGAAGGAGATACCCACAACGGCGATACTCACAAATGCATATGGTTGGGCCCTTCGCCAGGATGATGATCAACGCTCTGCCCCCCTGACGCCCAGCGTATGGGGCAGAAGCGGATGCATGGATAGAACACTCGGTAAAAAAATGTGCCTCGAAAGCTACCATAAACTTGAACTTGCCTCCCGCTGTATCTGCTGATTCTTTTCTTTGAGCTCATACTCCTCATCCTCCTCCTCATCATCATCAGCATCCTCCTCCTCATTCTCCTCCTGGTGCATCCTGCCTCCCACCTCCAAGGGTAATCCAACAATGTCTGCAGTCGACCGCAGCAAACCGCATTGATACAATGTTAAGCCTTGCCCCTTCCATTATGATCTTGCTCCCACCGTCCGCCGGCTTCTGCGGAAGCGATATCTGGCGAGGAGGGTGCCGAACAGCCACCAACACTCGTAGCTGGGCCCGACGGGCCGTGCGTGAAACTTTCAGGGCTCAACATACTCCATGGCTTACGCGTCGGCATGACAGCCAGGAAGGCGTGCTGGGCGCCGCAGCCTGAACCGCGCAAAGAACTTCCCAATCTCCTTGTCATTCTTCATGTCGTTGTACACGGCGGTGACGACCTCAAAACTGCTTCGCGGCCCTGCCTTCCAAGAACTAACCCTTGTCCAGCCACCAATTTTCCACGGCGATTGAGGCAATCGGGGACGAACACATGTTCAACAGTTGTATATAAAGTCATCCTGATACCAGAAGGACCCCGAAATACGGAACGAAGGGCCTCTTCTGGCCACGGCCAGCCTCGGCCAACAGAGTAGGATCTCCGACCTCCGGAGCCCAAAAGCGGTCCTCCACTCGGCGCCCCGGCTGTACACGCGCCAGGAGCAAGCACGTGCCGAGGAGCTGGCAGCCCGACCCTGCGAACGCAGAGCGGCGCGGACACCCGAGCTCGCGCGCGGGCACGCCCGGGGGACGGGAGCGGAGGCGGCAGGGGGAACAGAGGGGCAAGCCGAGCGCAGCAGAGGGAGCCCGCCTCGTGAAGATGGCGCCCTCCAGGCGACGACGACGGCGACGACGACGACGACGACGACGACGACGACGACGACGACGACGACGACGACGACCGACGCCGGCCGTAACCGACAACGGCCCGGGTCGTGATCTGGCCGTCCGACGGACGCGGTGCGCACGCGACAAAGGCGCCAAAAACGCCCCTGGCGGGCGGGCGGCTGCAGAGAGGCATCCCTCGCCCACAGCCTGGCACGATGCGCGCGGGAAAGAGCTCGTGCAACAAAATCTCGCCGCGAAACCAAGAGCAGGACACGAATCGCGAAACGATCTTCCTCGACCTATCCGCCGATTTTCTCACCACTAGCGTATCGGACGACGAAAAACCCATAGCAAGGCTTGATGGACGTAACAATCACACGAACCGAGTTGCGAAGATGAGTCGAAGGAGCAGCCACTGAACAAGCACGCCGAAATGCAGAGCGCAGTCCAACCAGGGAAAGACGGGCGGCACCGAGCCAGCTCGGAGCCAGCGACACGGAATTCCTACAGATCGCATGCGGAAACCGGCAGGGGCGAACTGCAAAGATCGTGATCTGCAGGGATCAGTAGCATACCTTGAAAAAGGCTGCCACCAGATTCACGCAATGCGAGACTCGCAAAGAAGATGAAGAGATAAGTGGAAGAGAACAGAAAGACAGTGAGAAAGAGACAGAGACAGAGAGAGCGAGAGAGAGAGAGAGAGAGAAAGCGACAGGAAGAGGAAAGGCAAGAGATAGAGAGTACTGTACAGTACAGTGCAGAAGCCTTGCATCCACGTGTTGGCGAACCCAGACGCTGTCGAGGGCGGACACAGGCGAGAGAGCGCGGCCAAACGCCCATGCCAAGATGACGATGAAAGATGACGACGACGATGGATCAAATATGTGATGAGACAGAGAGGCAGAGAGGAAAAGTGCGACAGGGAGCAACAACAAGGGACCTGCAAGGACCGATACCAAGACGGACCGACACACAGACAGGGACACACAAGGAGCGACTCGGAGACGGACAGGAATACAGAGACAGAGAGAGAACGGGACAGAGAATGAGAGACTGAGGGACTAAGATAGAGAGGGAGAGAGGAATATATCATGGATCGAGAGAGAGGGAAAGAGAGAGGGGGGAGAGAGAGGGAGAGAGGAATGTATATATATATATATATATACAGAGAGAGAGGGGGAGAGAGAGAGAGGGGGGGAGAGAGAGAGAGCAACAAAAAAAACAGGCAGAGAGAGGGAGCGAGAGACTGGGAGAGCGAGAGCGAAAGGGACACACGGAGAGACTGTCAAAGTGAGTTCGGCAAAGATATCAGAAGAGGGACATAGAAAGGTACAGGACAGTTTTTAATACATGGGATGTTTTAAGATATTGGATGTTTAATACATGATCAACGTATGAATACAGTTATGCATGAACTCATCGTTGTTTTTAATACTAAATTCCCGCAGTTTTAGTACATGATCCGCACGCGGAGCATGTATTGAAAACGGCCCTGTAAGAAGAAAGACTCAGAGTGAGGGAGGCATAGAAAGAGCAAAAACAGAAGAACAGCAGGACGGGACGCGAGGCTGAGAGAAAGCCGAGACCGAACGCGAGATCGAGTGAGAACGAGAGCAGAAGCGAAAGGAATGAAAAGGACGGGGGGTGAACGCCGACACGTGCACACCGATCCTGTACGGAAGAGCACAATATGTGCCACTGCAGTGGAAAAAAGTTCGATTGTTGCAGTGGGAACACATGGTGGCAAATACATCTCGAAAACAAGGATTGAATACCATTGCAAGCGACTAGCTCAATCCACTGGAAAAGAGCGTTCCAGGAAATTAGGCTACGATAGTTTACTTAGGAGGTCTACCAAGGTCCCCGCCCACCATCTTTCCACGAGCCCTCCCCAATTCTGACTTCATCAAGCTTCTTGTCGCCACCCATGCGTTCGAACAGTGAGTCGGACGCCCTTGTGGTCTTCGGGCCATACAGCCTCGTGACAGGGTTCTGGCTCATTTGTGCAGCAGCCACCTCCACCCGCACTGACTCCAAAGGGAACCCTATATTTGGCGAAAGCAGAAGAGCTGAGCGGGATTCCTTCCTGAAGCAACGCCCCATGCAGTCAAGAGAAGCCCAGAGCTTAGGCAGGAGTCCTCCGAACTCCTGTGCAACTCTTCAGAAGTCCACAATTGATGAGCCCTGTATCTGGATCTTTGGACCCACGACTCCAAACACGAATATTCGGATTACACAACTACTTATGAAATACTGGCTCCACCTTACCATTCATGCTCAGCACCTTGTGTCGTCCATCGACTTCCATGCAATCGCAACCCAATAGACCACACAAACACACACACACAAGCTACAATGATGAAATCATCCCAGGGGGTCGAACTCAAGCGACGGAACATAGAGCTGCAAGAACGCCGCGCGCTTGCTGTGATGAGTGGAATCGAACATCTGGGCCCACGAATTCTGTATTCTGGGCAGCGTCTCCCTGCGAGACCAGGAAAGCACAGAAATCAGTTCTCGCACTGCTACTCTGGCCAGGCAAGTGACAGCAGTGTGATTCAATGCATCCACTGGCGCGGTCATCGCGGCCCATGACAGATAGATAAAGCAAGCTAGATGACTCCGTTACTCGGGCGTCTGCACGACCAGAAGCCAGCAAGCTCGAAGACGGTCCGCTCATAGACTCGAAAAGGCAGGCCTTCGATGACTGTACTTTGGGACGTCTCGGGAAGCCCGGCAGAGTGGTCTCCCATGGTCGCGCTTCGACACACGATTTCCCTCCCCTCACAATAGTTCACTTGCTTCAGCTGCTCATGCCGACGCTGCCCTTGCTCTCCCCAGACGAAAACGAGGAGGCGACGGAGGAGGCGGAGCAAGAAACAAAAGGAGTAGACAAGAATGTGGAGGAGGGATGAAGAGGAGGAGGAGGAGAGGTAGAGAAGTGGAGGGAGAGAAGGAGACGGGGAAGCAGAGCAGGAGTAGAACCGAGGAGGATGGGGAAAGATGAGAATCTCTACTGGGAAGGAGTGACCAAGACGAACGGAGGACGACAGGGAGGGGACCAGGGCAAGAAGGACGAGGGGAAGGGGAGATGCCCGGACAAGACGCGGCGCACCTCCCCACAAAAGCTGCAAGGCACGCAGACCCTGAGCATGAAAACGTCGGGACAGGAGCAGATAGAAATCGCAATGCGGGTTCTGCTCCTCCTCCTCCTCCTCCTGCCGCTGCTGTAGCTCTGGCAATGTATTGCAGCAAGTAGCTCTCCCTAACAGCCAATGTCCGTTTGCATTCGCAGGTCTGCTAACACCACTTGGGCGCCTCGACTGCAACATGTCATCCCAAACTGGAGTAATGCATACATTCTAAGCGGCAAGCGCCCAAGATGTCAAGTTCGACGAATCAGAACATCATCAAACAAAAATCATCGATTAGCGGGGCGCAATGATATGGTCTCAAAAATGGCATACCCTCGCACATGTTGATGGGGCCAGTCGATCTGTGCTGGTCTTACACGCACCCGCCTTGCACGCGTTTCTACACCAGTACAAAAGCTTAAGAAGATGTTAAGTACGTGCACGCCGACCCCCCCCCCAAAAAAAACATGTCCTGGCGAAGGGACCATACGTGCGCAGGCGCAAGCGCCCCGAAGCATGCGAAACGGATGAGAAAGAGAATAGAGCTACGAAACTCGTGAGGGTTGTGCCGAATTGGGCGGAGTGTCATGCGAACCCCGCTACTGGAGCCGTCGGTGGAGCCCCCATGTGAGGCTACGAAACGCGTGCGTGGTGTGCTGAAGCGGACGGGGCGGCACGCGAACCACCCTGCCACTGGGGCCTTTTTGTGGAGCAGCTTATGGGGCCACAACACGAGCGAAAGGGCGGTCAAAACCGGCTGCGCCGAGGTCAATGGAGTGCCATGTGGGGCCACGTAACGAGTGAGGGGTGTGCCGAAATAGGCGAGGCAGCATGCGAACCCTGCCACTGGAGCCTTCGGTGTAGTCCCCTGTAGAGCCACGAAACGTGCGAAGAGTGTGCCGAAATTGACGAGGCGGCACGCGAACCCTGCCGCTGGGGCCGATCGGGACACCGACCGTTTGAAAGGTGTGCCAAAAACAAAAGGAGCGGCATTCGAACCATGCCAATGGATCCTGCCAAGCGTGCCAATGAAGAGCGCAATGCGATTGCGCACCTTGTTATGGCACTTCGCGCATACACAAGCCAGGTTAATACGATGTGAATACACATGCCAGGCTAGCAGTTCACTGGCACACAAAAGTAACCAAAACAAACTTAGTATCGCCCTTCTGCTCTGCAATGCAGGGCATGTTTCTTACATTCGGCCTTGAATGCTGTTGCGCACAAATATCGTTGACATGTTTCGTTTAGCTTCACAGTCCCCCTTCCGCGAAATGTCGTTGCAAAGGTTGGGTATAAGATTCACCACCGTGCTAGCCACGCAAGTCCGTGTGTAGAATGTTCCTCTGTTGTCTGGTAGTGCAGGTGCCTTTCATGCTGTCCACGGCCAACCCCATTATCTCCCCGCGCATCCCCTTCGAAGACCGCCCCCTTCCTGGAACCCACCTTGGGCAATTTCCCAACAACAAAAAAAAATGGAACAGGTATGGCCGATGAGAGGTTTTGGCCGACGGGGGGAAAACAGCGCCAAAAACAATTCTGGCGAAGGACACGACCGTATGCATTTGCGAATACCGTGGATATGCGCCGCTTGAACTGAAGTTCCCTGTGGGAACACGAGACTCGTGAGGGTTTACAAACATGGGGCTGGAGGCGCACGCGGGCCCTGCCACTGCGGTAGCAGCCCAAGTAAAGCCACGCAAAGCGAGAACCGCGCGCGGAGCCCCCCATTCAAGGGGCTTCTCTCGAGCTCGCTGTAAGGCCACGAAACGCTTCAGAATATACCACTGTGGGCCGGGGAACCGCATGCGAAACCCTGTTTATGGGGCCACGAGAAGGTGCGATGGTCGTGCCGGAAGGGGATGGGAATTCGTGTGCGGAAGCCCCGTTCCTTGCCGTACCTTGCCTTCAGCTCGCAGCAAGTAGAGGAAAACCAACAAGGCCTCCCAAAATTTGAAAGAAAACGACCTTCTAGACGCAGCTGTGGTAGAAGAAAGATGTCACCGTCTAGATACTTTAGACTGGAGCTCCGTAGCATTTTCTGTCGATCGGTGTGCATATGAGTCTCGCAGATCGCCTGCATCTCGAATTAAGTCGACAAAACGAACATCACCTTTTTCAAAAAATTAACACTGCAGATAGTTGTCTGGTCACCCCTAGTAGCAGACCGATCTTCGGCGTCTAGATACTGATCGTGTCTTGTCAATTGGCGTGCATATAAGCTCCGTGGCTCGCCCACTGCTCGGCTTAAGTAAAAAACAAATTATATGTCACAGAAAATTGCAGAGTGCGAATAATTTGTTTTCAATTCTAGCTCTGGTAGCAGACCGATCTCAGAAGTCTCGATACTGTAGGCGAATGTTTCTGGGTATTGACTCTTGAACAGTGTGCTCTCGAGCTCCGTAGTTTGCCCACAACTCGAACTCAATTGGGGGAACCAGCGGCTTGAAAAAATGCAAAGAATACAAATCGCTTCTTGGTTGCACCTCTCGACGCAGACCGACCTCAGGCGTCTTGATACTCCGCTCCTGATGATTCCCTGTCGAAAGACGTGTATCCCAGCTCCACAGCTCGCCTGAAGCTCGAATTGAACAGAGAAAACACATATTCATCCCTCATAATTTGTAGAGTGTGGAAAGAATTCCCAGTCGTAACTCTGATAGCACACAAATCTCATATGCCTCGATACCGTAGACACACGTTTCTGATCATTCCCTGTTGAACAGTGTGCTTCCCAACTCCGTAGCTTGCCTAGAGCTCGAATTAAGTGGAGAAGACAACATTGCCTCTCCAAAACTTTTAAAGAGTGCAAATAGCTTGTTGCTTGCAGCTCTAGTAGCAAACCGATCTCGGGTGTCTAGATACTTGAGACGAGCGCTCCTCGTTTTTCAGATTGATTTGGTGTGCCTGTCAGCTCTGTAGCTTATCTACAGTTCGAAACAAGTTGAGAAAACCGACAGCGTCTGTTAAAATGGCACTCAACACCCGATCCCACCCAAGTGTTCTTTGATAGTAAGATCCACCCGGTCGACCTGAGATCGGGATGGCGAGCGGGAATAAGATCGAAGATGGGAGGAGAAATATTAGAGCTCAACACTTTCTTCAATTTCGAGGATATGATTTTCAACCGACCCAGAAAAATCAGCCGAGATTGTTCGAGCGAGCTGGAAGCCGGCGGTAACCGTCCACCTTGGTTTTTTGAGTTTGAGTCAGGGCGCGGACAGCTGTGACAGCTGAGCCCTAAGACTCCCAAACGGAGCACAGGGTAGCTAGAGAAGGCACCTCTTATCATCACACTGCCGAGCCACTGAGGCATAGGCATCGGAATAGGATGCAGGAACAAGGAAAAGGATGCAACACAACATGTGAGAATGCAAAGGTGTTGGAACAGGTTAGAGAATGGTGTAAGAGCTGGTTGAAACGCTACCCAAAACGTGTTCCACGGCCATACAATGCCGTTTTACTGCATTGATCAAAGCAACAGCCGATCAGCAGCATATGCTTCCACAGACCGCCCTCCAACGAAGAAACCGTGGAGGCCGACTAGTTCATGTTTACGTTGTATATCACAGACGAAGCAGAGTGAAAGTTAAAGTTGAAGTCTTGAACAGCGCCAGGCGCCAGTTAAGGCCACAGTTAAGGCCAAAAGGTTACACAAAGGTTCCTAATGTGGCTCTGCAAGCGTTGTTCCATCAACCGTTGAGCACCACTTGAGTAGAATGTTAAGCACCGCCAATGTCCGAAGCACCACCCTGCAATACGGTGCATCCTTATCTTGTCCAACCGACACAGCCCACAGGTTCTCTGGATGTCCGCATCCCCCCCCCCCCATCACGGCGCAAAGCCTCACAGAAACGGTGCAGAGCAGCCTGCTTCAAGTAAAAAATTTGCCCTCACTCGCTGGGTGGCCATATTATCCCATGCGTGGAAGGCCGCATCCGAATCAGCGTCCTCATCGCACTCTGATTG